CTGTGGAGGACAAAACAGAGTTAACGTTTCGGGTCCGGTGACCCTTCCTCAGAACTGGTCACCGGACCCGAAACGTTAACTCTGTTTTCTCCTCCACAGATGCTGCCAGACCTGCTGAGCTTTTCCAGCGACTTTGTTTTTGTTCCTGATTTACAGCAACCACAGTTCTTTTGGTTTTTATTCAATAACTGACAAGCTTGGCTAAATGTTAAGTGAACAGAACACTGCGAAGATTTCTTTATGGATACGTCTCACCTTCATACCTACGTTCCTATGGTTATCTGCTGTTGTGATATGGTCCAGCAAGGGTATAGCACCAGGAATACCTTTCTGCAAATCCCCCTGCACACCACCACCCAAAGGGTCCAACTTTGTTACTGCCTTTAGAAACTCACTCCTATACCATGTATAGGCTGGAGAGCTGTATCCCCAGTACACCTAACACCAACTTGTCTTCCCAGTGACCATGAGCCTATTACTACATCAGATAAAAATCTGCAATGTTGTAGATAAATTTTATCCCCATCTTTCTAATGAAACAAGCATTAGGACAAAGGGTTAAATAGCCTTTCACTGTGTTCTGCATTTTTATGAAAATAAGACATGGTATAGCATCATGGAGACACTTGCCCTGCATAGACTGAAGGCATTCACGAAGGCAGCTAATCACCACTCTCTCCAGGGCAGTTAGAGATTGGAAAAACTCAGCAGGTCAGGCAGTATGTGTGGAGACAAACAGTGGATGACCTTTCAATCTGCTGGCCTTATCAGCCATATCCTGGAAATGAATGTTAAAATTATTTGGAGAAAATCATCACACTGAACTTCTTTCTAATTCCTTGGTTTGAATTTTGTTTGATTTGATTTAGATTTATTGTCACATATATAAAAATATGGTGAAAAGTGTTTTCTTGTGTGTCATACACAAAGTGTCGCTATGCTCCAGGTGGCCATTTTGAAACACTGAATATAACGGAAGGTTTTACTGCAATAGAGCTCATCTTTCACTCTTCTTCTCGTTGTTCCTCCACTGCTCCTCCAGTTGCTGCTGGACATTGGCCGAAGTCTCTGAAACGGGCTCCGGGGTCTTGATTATGGGCCTCTGCAAGTGCCCACTCCCAAGACTGCTGTGTCTAAGCTGGAGCCATGGGCCTGGGGATGCGTGGGTTCTGTCCCTCCTGTTCCCCATCTAATGTACCTCCAGTCACTGCCACCAGTCCTCCGCCATCCCATTCGCCGATGCTTCTGCACCTTCAGGCACCGGGCCTAGCTGCAGACCTGGAGCCTTGGCTCAACCTGCGAGACCAGGCCAGGGGAGTTAGCTCGGGACTTGCTCCTCACTTGCTGGGAGTCCCTGGGGTCGGGTGGAGCCATGTCTGGCTCGTCCTGGCATTGCTGCTACTGCTGGAAGTCTCCTCCTTCACCCATCACTCTCCAGGCTTTAATGAAAAGAAAACGAAGAATAAAAGGGGGAAAGAAAAGCAATACTAAAAAAAAGAAAGAGAAAGTAAGCACATGGGAGTGGATGAGCCCTGGGCTCAGGCCTGCTACTCTGCTGCCATCTTGGAGTGTGGTAGAAAAGTCGTGGATATTAATAAAACACATTCTGTTCCAGACATTAGGTATCAGAATCAAATACTCCTTGGTTGTATTACAACATGATTAGAAACACAGCAATAGCCTCTTTGCTTTGTCCCAACAAGGTGCCTCAGCCACAATCTCACGATATGGAGGTATCAGCTGGGACTCAGTACATGGCCCTGTGCCTGTGTGAGATGGTTGTGGGTTCAAGCTCCCACTCAAGAGACTCGGGCACAAAGATCTCTAGACTGACACTTTCATGTGGTGCCAACAGTGCTGCATGGTCGGAGATGCTGTCTTTTTGATGAAGTGTTTAACTCAGGCCCTGTTTTCCATCTCGGATGGATGAGAGAGATCCCACAGCCACTCCCTAAGAACAGGGAGTTCTCCTGGTTGTTCTGGCTGATACTCCTTTATAAACAATGTAATTTTGCCGTAAGAGCTTACTGGGCACAAAGTGGCGACCAATTGACCTATTCTATCACAAATACTACACGTTATTTTCATCTTATATAGTATTTCCAAGTGAGGATGGTGAGTGACATGGAGGGGAATTTGCAGGTGGTGGTGCTTCCATGTATGTGCTGCCCTTGACCTTCTGGATGGTCATGGTTGTGGGTTTGGATAGGATGCGGGTAGTCCTGGCACAGCCATCACTTGTTTCCCATCCAATCGCCCTTGAACGGACTGGTTTGCTAGGCATTTCAAAGGGCAGCTAAGAGTCAACCATATTGCTGTAGATCTGGATCACATAGGCCAGACCAGATAAGGATGGTGGATTTACTTCCCTGAAGGACAGTAGCAAACTAGATATGTTTTTATGTCAACTGATGATAGTTGTCACGATCACCTTAAAGAAACATAGAGAATAGGAGCAGGAGTAGCCTTTCAGCTCACTGAGTCGTAGAGAAGACTTAATGTGATCATGGATGATCCTCTACCTCAACATCAGACTCTCTCTCTCTCTTTTCATACTCCTTGACACCTTTAGTTTCTAAAAATCTATTTCTTTCTTGAATATGTTCAATGACTTTACCTCTACAGCCTTCAGTGGTAGAGAATTCCACAATTTCACCTACCTCTGAGTGAAGAAATCTTCCATCATCTCAGTCATAAATTGCCTACTGTTTATTGTGAGACTGTGACCATTCTTTTTGATCCCTTGACCAGGGGAAACATCATCCCTGTATCGCTGTCAGAATTTTAGATATTTCAATGAAATCCTCTCTCAATCTTCTAAATTCCAATGAATACAGGCCTGGTCGACCTAATCTGGCCTCAAAGGACCAACCTGCTACCCCAGGGATCAGTCTTGTGAATCTTTATGGTATTCAATCCAATGGAAGTATATCCTTCCTTAGATAAGGAGACCAAAATGGTTCATACCACTCCGGGTGTGGTCTCACCAAAGCCCCTTTCTTCCTCATGGCCCCTTGGTAGTGGATGCCAATGTGACATTTACCTTCCTATCTGCTTACTGCACCTGCACACTTACTTTCAATGACGAGTGTACAAGGACATTCAGGTCCTTTTGTACATCAGCATTTCATAATCTATCACCATTTGGCAAATCCTCTGCCATTCTGTTTTTCTAACCAAAGTGGATAACTTCATACATATCTATGTCGACTGCTATTTCCAAGCATATGTCCACTCACCTTAGCTAAATTGCTATTAGGCCTCTTTACATCCTCCTCACACTCCCACCTAGTTTTGTATCATCAGCAAATTTGGAAATAATACGTTTGATTCCCTCATCCAAATTATTGATTTATATTCTGCATAGCTGGGCCCCAAGCATCAAACCTTATGGTTCCCACTTATCACCACCTTCCACTCTGAAAATGATCCATTTATTCTTGTTCTCTGTTTCCTGTCTGCTAACCAATTCTCAATCCATTTCCAATATATTACTACCAATTGGATGTGTTTGATTTTGTATAATAATCTCTTCTGTGAGATTTATTAACTGCTTTCTGAAAATCCAGTACACCTCATCCACTGGCTTTCCCTCATCTATTCTAATTATGTCCTCAAAAAAAAACTCTAGTAGGTTTGTCAAACACGATTTACATTTCATAAATTCATGTTGACTTGCAAAATTGTTGGTATTGTCTAAGCGTCCTGTTATCATTTTACAACAGATGCCAACCTTGGGCTCTTGTGGCATGGTGGTAATGTACCTGTCTCTGAGCTAGGTGTGCTGGGTTCAAGTCCCACCTGCTCCAGAGATGTGTCATAAAATTTCAGAACAAGTTAATCTCTCCAGTCCAGAAGGAAGAAACAATCTGCCCTTTTTGGATTTTAAGATATTTAAGACTTCACTCCAGCCAAGAACTCAAGCTTTTAGCTTCAGCAGCCAACAGAAAATCTTCTCAATCACTGAAGGCAAAACTAAAAATCTTCCTGAGTCTGAGAGCCCTGACCCTGCCCACTAATGATTATTTTGTCTCATGAAAAGCCACCCAGGGAAAATTCAAAACTTGTTTACTTGTACCCTTCTGAAGTAGTCATCCCCTTTGCAAGAGAAACAGTACGGATCACATCTCTCTTAAGGGCACAGTACCATCATGTCCCTACTACTGATGTTAGGCCATCCAGTTTGTAATTCCCAATTTTCTCCCTCAATTCTTTTTTTTTTAAGGCAGTGGTGCTACAGTTGCCACCCTGCAATCTGCTGGACGACCCACAATCCAAAGAAATTTGGAAGCTGACAACCAAAGCATCCACTCTTCCCATGGCTACCATGGGATGTAAATTATCACGTCATGGGAATTTATTAGCTTTCAGTTCCTGTGACTAGCCTTGTATTCCAGACTCGTTCATTGTGTTTAAATTCTACCAGCACCTGTAGTGGAATTTGAACCTACGTCTCTAGAGCTTTAGCTTTGCCACTCTTTAAATTAGTTTTTTTTTTGCTTTACAGAGATTTACTCATTTTCAGGAAGAGAGAGGGAAAGGGCTTCCAAATAAATGTTTCCTTTATGTTTAAAACAGGTTGGAACTCCGTTTACTAGGGGAGTGTCTGGTGGAGAAAGAAAGAGGACAAATATTGGAATGGAGCTGATCATTGACCCATCTGTCTTGTTTTTGGATGAACCGACTACTGGTTTGGATGCTGGCACAGCGCTCACTGTCCTGCTGCTGCTACAAAGGTGTCTTTATGCAACCCACCACATAACTTTTAACAAATCAATGCTGTCAACTCTGAAAATAATGCAGAGGATGCACTTGAACCGGGGGAAGGGGGATCCAATATCCTTGAGGGGAGATTTGCTAGTGTTACCCGGGAGGGTTTAAACTAGTTCGGCAGGGAGCTGGGACTCTTGATAAGAGAGGGACCATGGAGAAGTCAGGGGAAAATACATCAGTCATCGAGAGCAAGTTTACTGTTCAGGATAGCCAGGGACTCAGTAAAGGGAGGGAAAAGACTTCTGGTTTAAAGTGCATTTATTTCAACGCATGAGGCCTGACTGATGAGGCAGAAGTTTCCTTGCAGGTTTCCAGGAGTTGGGGTTTCTTGTTCATTGGTGTTTAGCGCCTGTTGAAGAGTCCTGGCATTGCAAAGTGGTGGGATAAGTCCAGTGAGAGCCACCTCCAATTCCCTTGTTCCTTGTCCACGCCACATCCTCAGCCATACTTCCCCCTACCCATCCTACTTTCAGTGATCCTAATCATTCACCTCTGGTTTGGGTCTTTCTCTGATCCTGGGTCTGCGGTGGCTGATTTGCCAACAGTTACCATTGTTTCTGTGATGGCACTGACAGCAATAAGGAACCACTAATAAGCTGGAAGCTCCCAGGGTAAAGATCTCAAACCCAAGCTCCTTGATCACAAGGAAGGTCCACCACTGGCAAATTAAATGCCCAAGAGGAGGTGATGCAGGACTGTCACTGTGGACGAGACCCCAGCTGCCTGGATAAATTCCTCCCATTATGTGAGTTATGTGTAAAGGGCTTTATCTAGATTCCCAGTGGTAGTGTTGCAATCAGAAATCATTTGCTAAGGGTGAGACTTGTTCCGGGAATTGTCTAAAGATGCACTGGCCTGTTTTATGGCATCTACTGAATGCCGTTTCATTGTCAGTTGTGAGTAGCTTGCTGGCCATAATTGAGTGAAGAGACCTGCTAGTAATTATTAACTCATGCCATGGGAAAAGATTGCCAAGTCCTTGCCAAAGAATGCACCAACAACTTACAACTTAATGTACCATATTCATGCAATAAGCTCAATAATAGTAGGAGCAGGATGGGGACATCTCGCCTTTCAAGCATGCCCCATTATTCAATGAGATTATGGCTGATCTTCTACTTCAACAATATTTTTCTGCAATATCCCCGTATCCTTTGATGTTTTTTAATATGTAAAAATCTGTCAACTTGTCTTGACCGTACTCAATTACTGTGTTTCCACAGACCTCTGTGGGAGAGAATTTTAAAGATTCCCCAATCTCTGAGCAAAGAAATTCACCTTTTGTCTTTGGTGTAAATAGACGACCCCTTATTCTAAGGCTGTGTCCCTTGGTTCTGGATTGACATCCCCTGGCCACAAAAGCCAGCAGAAGATGGGTTAATTAAACGTTACAAGACTCCTTGTAGGAGTGGCAAACAAAATATGTAAGTAAGCCACGTAAAAAGATATTAGGACAGGTGGCCAAAGGGCTAGGTTTTAAGGAAAGTATTAAAGGAGAAGAGCGGGGTAGAGAGATTTAGGCATGGAATTCCAGAATATAATTCCTGAATGACTGAAGGCACACCTGCGAATGGTAAGATGAAGCGGAAATCAGGTATACATGAGAGGCCAGAACTGGAGGAATACAAGAGTTCTCAGACAGTTGATCCGGAAGAGGCCATAGAGAAATGATGGGATGAGGTCACAAAAGGATTGGGATACAACGATAAAGATTAATGTTTAAGCGAAGATCTGTAGCTCGGGTTGTGGCTGGAGTTGTTGGTTGGTTCGCTGAGCTGACTGGTTTTTGTGCAAACGTTTCATCCCCGTTCTAGGTGACATCTTCAGTGCTGTCTAGCCTCTGTTGAAATGCTGTTGTTCTGTTCCGTTCTGAATTTATATAGAACATAGAACAGTACAGCACAGTACAGGCCCACGATGTTGTGCCGACCTATTATCCTGCTAAGATCAATCTACCCTGCATACCCTACATTTTACTATCCTCTATGGTCCTTCTGTTATGGTGGGTAGTTCTGTTTCCGGTTTTGCTCCGTAGTGGTATGTAGTCTATTTCAACATGTTTGTTTATGGTACCAGTAGTTGAAAACTAGGCCTCCAGGAATTGTTTTGCTTGTCCTAGTACTGTTACATTGTTCCAGTTAAACTTATGTCCTGCTTTGTCGGAGTGAATTGAAACGAGGGAGAATTGGTTGTGCTGTTTTGCTGCGAGTTGGTGTTTGTGTATCCTGGTAGCGAATTTCCTGCCCGTAAGGCCTATGCATTGCTTCCCTCGGTTGCTGCATGGTATTTTGTACATCACATTTGTCCTGCTCATTGTGGGTATGGGGTCTTTCATCTTTGAGAGTAGCTGGCGAAGTGTGGCTGTTGGTTTGTGTGCTATCCTTATTCCAAGTGGTGGTTGTGTCTCGTAGATAGTTCTGATACGTTTCTAATATAGGGAAGGTGGCCAGTGTGTTGGTGTTGTTTGTTTATTTGCCAGGTATTGGTGGATGAAGCTTTTGGGATACCTATTGTTTGCAAATTGTTTCCTCAAATTTTTGTGTATCTCCGGGGTGTTGCAGTGTGTTATTGCTCGTTTAAACAGAGTCTTGACACAGCTCTGTTTGTGGATGTTTTGGTGGTTACTTTGTAATTCAGGATTTGTTCTGGGTGTGTGTGTAGTTTTTCTGTATACACTGGTAAGGAATTCACCATTGTTTGTTCATTCCACCATTATGTCTAGAAACAGGAATTGATTGTTGTTCTCTTCTTTCCTGGTGAACTTGATCCCGGTGAATATGCTGTTAATGAGGTGGTGTGATTCTTCTAACTTTGCTCGTTTAATGACCATGAAAGTATCTTCCACGTACCTGACCCATTGTTTAGGCTGGATCTGGGGGAGGGCTGTGCGTTCAAGTCTTTGCATAACTGCTTCCGCTATAAAACCTGTGAACCCATGTGTGTCCCAAAGATTTGTTCGTATACCTGACCATTGAAGACAAAGTGCATGGTAAGGCATAGGTCTAGTAATTTCAGCATGTTGTTGTCCTTGCTGATGGTTTCATTGGAGGTCTGTGTTTTCAGATTGTCTAGTAAAGCGGCCAGTGTCTCCCTTTGATATTGTTGTGTCGATAGAGCTGAATAGTGTCCCAACATCAAAGGGGACCATCATTTCATCCTTGTCGACTTTTATGTTTCTGATGTTCTTCAGGAATTCCTGTGCGGAGTGTATGGAGCGAGTCAATCCGTTGGTGAGGTGTTTCAGTCTATGTTGTAGCTCTTTGGCTAGCCTGTGTGTCGCTGTGCCTGGCTAGGAAACTATGGGTCTGGGGGGGATGTCAGGTTTGTGCACCTTGGGCAGTTTGCAGAATCAGGGGCTGTTTGAACCATCAGGTTTCATTTTTAGGAAGTCTGTTCTTGTTATTTGGCTGCTGTAATTTCTCTAGTGTATGGGGGTGATCCTGTTCTCTAACTGTAAATAAAAACCAAAAGAACTGCAGGTGCTGTGAATCAGGAACAAAAACAAAGTTGCTAGAACAGATCAGCAGGTCTGGCAGCATCTGTGAAGGAAAAATCAGAGATAACGACACAGATGCTGCCAGACCTGCTGAGCTTTTCCAGCAACGTTGCTTTTGTTCTCTAATTGTGTTGTGGGGTCTGACTCCTTCTGTTGGTAAGTGTTAATATCTGCAAGTAGTTTTTGTGCTTTTCCATTGTAGTCCAATTTATTCATTCCAACTGTCGAGCGGCTTTTGTCTGCCAGTAAGATTATGATGTTCCTGTCCTTCTTTAGTACTTCGAGGGCTTTTCTTTCTGATGTGTTGAGTGCATTTGGCTGGTTTCTCCTGTTCAGTGTAGGGACTATGGTTTGTCGGATGGCCTGTTGTTTTTCGTCCATAAGTCCATTAGATTTCAGTGTAGCCTCAAGCACAGCCAGGAAGTCTGTTTTGTTAGCGTCCTTGTAGTTTTACTTAAGTCCCTATATCAGGACATCTCAGTTGTCCTCGTTTTTCAAGGACCGTAACTTCCCCCCCCTCAGTGGTCGAGAATGCCCCCAACCGTGTCTCCCACATCTCCCGCAACTCATCCCTCCCACCCCATCCACGCAATAAGAACCAAAAAAGAATCCCCCTCGTCCTCATGTACCACCCCAACAACCTCCAGATCCAACACATCAGCCTCCGACACTTCCGCCATCTGCAATCCGACCCCACCACCAAAGACATCTTTCCCTCCCCACCCTTATCTGCTTTCCGGAGGGACCACTCTCTCCGTGACTCCCTTGTCCGCTCCACACTCCCCTCCAGCTCCACCACACCTGGCACTTTTCCCTGCAACCGCAGGAAGTGCTATACCTGCCCCCATACCTCCTCCCTCACCCCCATCCCAGGCCCCAAGAAGACTTTCCACATCAAGCAGATGTTCACCTGCACACCTGCCAATGTGGTATACTGCATCCGCTGTACCTGGTGTGGCTTCCTCTACATCGGGGAAACCAAGCGGAGGCTGGGGGACCGCTTTGCAGAACACCTACGCTCGGTTCGCAATAAACAACTGCACCTCCCAGTTGCGAACCATTTCAACTCCCCCTCCCATTCCTCAGATGATATGTCCATCCTGGGCCTCCTGCAGTGCCACAACGATGCCACCCGAAGGTTGCAGGAACAGCAACTCATATTCCGCTTGGGAACCCTGCAGCCCAATGGTATCAATGTGGATTTCACAAGTTTCAAAATCTCCCCTCCCCCTACCGCATCCCAAAACCAGTCCAGCTCGTCCCCGCCCCTCCCTGGACTGACCTATCTCCTCCCTACCTCCCCACCTACACACACCTTTACTGGCCCCATCCCCGCCTCTTCGACCTGTTTGTTTCCTCTCCACCTATCCTCTCCTCTATCCATCTTCTATCCGCCTCCCCCTCTCCCCCTATTTATTTCAAAACCCCCTTCCCCTCCCCCTTTTCTGATGAAGGGTCTAGGCCCGA